AACATAGTTATTACAAACCAGTTCAAGAAAAGTAGCGGAAGCCATTTGTTCGAACCACACACACACTCACACGCGGAGTTTAAATATAGTGCCGTGAATGATCATCTCCAACAAAAGCATCGAGACGAGACGTAAGGAATGACCCGCCCCCATGGTCCTAAGCATCACCCATCGCAGGATAAAGGCGGTTGATACAATAGCCGTAATACATCGCCCATCTCGCAACAAGTGGGAATAAAACCACGAGTGCGAGAAGGTACTCACTAGACTTACCCGACATAACCGAAAAATAAATGACACCAAGGATTATGAAGGCTTTATAGTAGGGTAGTCAGACTCATTTGCAAAAGAAGCATTTTAGTATTTCCATAACTTTTCTAAAAGCGTTATTGCCAACTTAATTATTATTAACTTATCGACTAGATTTGCATCTATACTAGAGTAAACATGTGATTAAGCAATTAATGATAACCACTGATCATTAAACAACTTCCATACTGTCATATTCACTATAACTGTCCAAATGTTCCATAAACATTTACTACGATGAAGTAACTCAAGTCAAGTGCTCACTATCCAGGAGCGATGGCGATTCGAATCGATTCCTAACCAGCTGGTGATTTATTCCTTACACAAATCTCACTCACCCGCTAAAGTGAGATATTGATCACCGAGTCAACTTTCCGTGTATCTCGAGTTTGCGGAACCACATGTACCGGAGCCGACCGATTTGCACTTTGGTCTTATCATCCCCCCGTGTCCTACCACACCTGCTTGACACGCAAGTCGCATGCTGGGCAATCTACTCGCCGAAAAATCTCTCGGCCAGCGGTCGGAAGGTACTTTATCCGGCCAGACTAAATGTAAGGCATCGTTCAACATGACTCGAGGCCCAACAACGGTCGGTCCTTAATCGACCTGAGACGGAAACACTACAGTCCAAAACTCTACAAGTCTCCGTCCGGTCTCAACTTCATTTAACACTTAGTTATACCATGACTTCATAGTCATCCAAGCGAGATCCGTAACCACCTATAGCTCGCGGTGACGAAAATCACCCGACTTCTACCGGTCTAAGCCAGCTAAGCATTGACTCGACTGCGGATACCAGGGTAACAAGGATATAGTATAACAAAGGTAAACAAGGTATAATGCAGCAACGGTTGCAAACAACTCCTGAACGTAATGCATTAATTTAAGGTAAAGTATTTAATTAAATAATTGCAAACCGGGAGAAAAATGCTCCGGGGCTTGCCTCTCTCGAAGGAGCTCGGGCGGTGATCGGGGCACTCCGGAAGTTCTTCAACGTCCTCCTCGTCAAACCTGGCACTTCCTGCTGCTGCACCTCGAGCTGCTCCTCTGGCTCCTCGGGTATGACGACTGGGTTCTCGGTTTGCGATCCTGTATGATGCAATGTGCGTAAGTGCTTATGCAATCGGTGCATCGAAGGAGATGAATGCAATGGATATGTTTAAATGCAAGGTAGTCAACATCATCCAAGAAACTATACTACAAGCACATGTCATCTACGGCATTCTCTTCTACTACTAGTATGTTTAAGTCAACACACCTTATCAAATGCTTCAAAGATACACCAAAGCTATTATTATTAACTAACCTTGTATTAAGGGGGATTATTTTATTTCCTTTTTAATTAGGGCTACAACAGCAATCTATATTTCTGGTGCTTATAAAAATCTAAGAAAATTACAGTAGCATGGTACTACTCTAATTAGACTACCGTTAGATTTTCATGGTGTTTGAATGAGTGGATTAGCCTACACAAAAATAACAAGCTATGGCATGATTTTGTACATGAAAATACTTTGAACTGTGAAAAGTGTCAAACAACAGAATTAATATTTTTCCTAGGTTCTTCATAGCATATAATGACTGTACAAAAATCATCACATGCATGTTTTATACAAAGTTTGCTCTCTAACAAAAATAACAAAAATCAGCCATTAAAGGTACTTGAACTACACCTCAAAATTTTCCCACAGCACATGCATGAAACATATTTTTCCTAAGAAGTACATGACACAAGAAGATTAACAAACTTGGAATCATATTTTTCTGAAGCCTATAGATTTTTCTACATATTTTTCAAGTTATCAGCAATATTCATGATTAAATAAAATCCTACAGAAAAGTATCCCAAAAATGACATGCAATAATTTTCCCAAGTAGATCTGATGATAAGGAACCTACCAAAATTTGTTTCAACAAATTTGGAGCAAGTTTGAGCACCCAAACATTTTTCAAACCATTTCAGATTTCAAATAATAAAGAATAAATGGAAATCAAATCACTTAAACGTTACTGGGCCAGCCCGTGGAAACGAACTGGCCCACGGCCACAAACAACTCTCTGCGGCCCGAGCGCCGAGGGAGGAGATGGCCCAACAGGCGTCGACCCATGGCTTCGCTTCGGCTGCCGGCTGGGCTGGTGAGAGGCAGCACGCCTCATGCAGCGTTTACCTGCCTGCGATGGCGCTGCTTCGGCCATGAGGCCGGGCGGCCATCTCCGGCCACGGCAGCGCAAAGCAAGCGAGCGCAGGAGGTTCGCGAGGCATTGGCGAATCTGCGAGCGAGCAACTAAGCGAGGTGGAGAAGGGAGGAAGGGGAGTCCCACGGCCGAGCACCGCACGGGCCACGCCATGGCCGTCGGTGGCGGCGGGAAGCTCACCCTAGGCTCGGAAGGCGGCATGAGCGCGAGCATGAGTTGAAGGAAGGTGAGGCGGAGTTGTGGGCGCGGCGAAGGGCGGGCTCGAGCTCTCGGCTCACGGAGGAAGGAGAGGAAGGCAGGGGAGTGAGCGGCGCCGGGCACCAGCAGTGAAGGCGGGCGCGTGAGCGTGATGATGTCGGCGCAGCGCCACACATGGCTGGCGACGCCAAGCGTGGGGGTCACCACGCCAAGAATTTCTCTGCCAGCTGTCATCGGCGGCGTGGCCTGACGTGACAATGACGGTGAGCGCGTGAGTGCGGGCGAAGCGGGAGGCGGCATGGGCGTGGGCTGGGTCGACGGCCAAGCGGGGCAAGGGCGCAAGGCGCTGGAGGAGGCAGCCAGGCACTGTGTCGACTGGGGGCGAAAATGAGGGGCAAGGCCCACGAAGGTATAAACAAGATTTTTCAAATTAATTTGAATTCCTTTTTCATTCAAACGAATTTTTGGACTAAATCAAAGCAGTTTCAAACTTTGGGCCAAAAATAAAAGTTGCTCAAAATTTTATCCTCTACAACTTTGATTTTAAGACCAACGTCCAATTCATTATAGATTTTGAATTAGAAAATTAAAGTCAATTTTGACTCGAACCCTAATTTTTGGAGAATTATTTTTAAAGCAAAATTTGGCAATAATTCAAATACAAACCTTGCTCCAAAAATTGTGATAAACAATTCTAGATGATTTACAATCATAACCAAACAAGTTCTACTAACCTAGCAAACAAAATCAGGGCAAAACAATTCTAACAAAGGTATGCAACATTCAGGTTTCACAACATGTTTCAGATGTTTCGAAGTAGTATTTCACTTGTTATTCACATGATTAAGCATGTATGATTTGGATGCTTGATGATGCATGATATGCGTGATTTGCAGTGCCTAAATGTAGGCATAACACCGGGGTGTTACATGGACGACCCAGGACCTCCTCCACTTCGTCCTCTTCGGGCCCTTCTTCGGGTCTCGGTTCTAGTCCAGAGTTAGCAGCTTCTGTGATTACTATGGCCTTCCCACGGGCTGCAACATCGACAAACGTGCTCTGTGCTCTCACCTCCGGCCGCTGCTCTTTGGTCTGTTTCGTTACCCTTGATGCTGAGGTGTTGCCCTCGGCATGTTCAGCGCTCGGAGCACTCATGCTTGGCTCGGCTCTTCCCCCAACCACCTGCTCGAGGACTGTTGTCTGACTATTTGTTTGCTGAGGCCCCGACGGATCTTCTGTTATGGGTTCCTCGAGGGCCGGCTGCTGGGCAGTCTATTCTGAACTTTTTGGCGGAGCCATGCCGCTCCTAGCTAGCTGGTCTGGACTTTCAGTGGACGCCAAACTAGTACATCCAAGATAAGTTCAGAAGGCAATCATATTCAATGCAAATTGGTAGCTTACATCAAGGTCACAAATACTTACATGTTGGAAGCGTGGAATGATGTGGCGAAAGTGCGTCTATTCGGCCGTGCTTGCTCCACATGCTGTGCGGGGGACTCCTGGTCTCCCTCTACATCCAGCACTGTTGCTGGGCCTTGGTGCTCGACCCCTCCGTCGCTCGTCCTTCACGCTGCAGTGGTCGGCGATGTAGGTCCCACCGGTACGGAGGAGGCACCTTGCTCCATCGACTCAAGTTGCCTTCTCCTCTTTCGAGGGACAAGTCGAGTGGTGTCTGCATCCTCTCTCTCCTCTGTGTCATTGTCCGACAAAGTAAAAATCGCCTAACGACGCTTGCTGGTCGTCGGCCGCTTACTAGCAGCTTTGGCCACTGCCTCCTCTCCAGCTCCGAGCACCGCCCAGTCGACGTCCTCGATCTCGACACTGGTCTGGGTGGCTGGGATAGCTCCTTGTGGCCAATCTGCTCCAGGGGGTGGCGACACAAACACTGTTGCTCTATCCCGGCCATTAATCTGGGAAACAAATGGGAGTGAACACAGTAAGTTTCTACCACAATATGAGACTACGAGTACAAGGCAAGATGAGTTACCTTTGGGGGAGGTCGGGCGAGCTTGAAAGCGTGCTCGATGTCGCTCAATCTGACATAATTTGGATCAGCTAAGTTAAATAGCTCTCCAATTCTGGTTTTCACTTCATTTTTGTCAAGCGCCCCCTGCCTCGTCCTCGTCGGGTCCGTGCTAC